CTAGGCCCGGAACGTCAGCCTTCCTGCTCCTCTGATGCTGCTTGGCCTGCTGTGTTCATCCAGCTCTACACCTGGTTATCTCTTATAACTGATCTAGTACCACAGGTTAGCAGTAGTTCATGGCATACAGTCAAGCAAAATTTGATATTCTTCTGGTTCAAGTGGTAATGATTATTTACCACACGCTGGTGAACAAATACAAGATTTATGCCATACTCTGCCAAGCTATCATAAAATGGCTCAACAGCTCAGTTTCACAAAAATCAAACAACAAATGTTAGTATTAGAAAAAAAAAACTACAAGAACTCAGCAGGTCAGATGGAGTCTATGAAGAGGAGAAAAAAAAGTGAACTTTTCAGATTCTGATGAAAGGAGCAACCTGAAATGTTATCTTCCCTTCTCCACTACATTGCCCTAACGTGTTGAATATTTTCAGTCTGTTCTATTTTAGCACAGCTTGCATCTGATCTTGTGCAACTGAACAGTTCTTTTGAAATATTACTTTTTACATCTTTTGCATTGACAACTCATAATATTGTCACAGGTACATTCTAACAGCTGCACAAAGATGCACTACTGCATCTGTATCACAGCCTAAGTGTCAGTCACAAACAATTAATTTGCTCCAAATATTCAAAGATATGAGGACCATAGCAAAACTTCAGCTAATCTAGTTCAGCAGTTTGCCAACTATCCACTGATATTTTAAACAGCAACAAAATTTTAACTGTGCTGTGTGCCTAACCAACCTCTGCAATATTCAAAGATTGCTTTCAGAGAAATGGTTTAAAAAATTTACCAACACAGGAGATATGCATTGCAGCTGAGTGACCAACTTTGTGTAATATAAACGCAAGTGTGCTTATGACCAGTCTCCGGATCGTGTATTTTGAATTATATGTTAGTTTTGGGTTTTTTTAGATAAATGAAAAATAATTGTTTTTGTCTCTGCTTTTTCAACATTGCATTAACGTAACTGAAGATAACATTTTACACCTGACTGCAGTGAAGTTTCATTATTAACTTGAGCAATAGCAAATCAGAGCCTGTTTTACATTTCATGCCAGAATTGCTACTGTGCATCACTTTTAAAGTGAGAGAAACAAAGGACAACCTGAATGTTGCTCCAGCATTTAACTGCAAAAGAATTTAATTGCTGCAAGACTACAAAAAGATTACTAACAAGGAAATCATTAATAATAAATTTTGTCAATATTTTTGTAATATATTTTAAAATAGCCTTTACAACTAATTTACATTAAATTAAAACAGAAGCAAACTATTTAATATTTCACAACAGTGGCTAACTATAAATAATTGCAGGCTGTAATCATACATTAAGAGTCAAAGAAACAAAACTCAATGAATCTATGCTCTTTGATTCAAACAATTAATTCTACTGTTTTATTTTCTCGCTCTCTTCCCTTATGCTGGGGCGTACCAAAAAGGCTAATAGGAAACACTGCAGCCAAACCAAATGCTGAATCACACCAAATATTTGAATCTTAACCTGAATCAGATCAATGAGCATCAATTAGAATTAGACCCAACTGATACATGATGATAGCTGATTTCTGTCCACATAACTTTGCCATATGGCTAAAGCTGTTGTTCAATCAAAATAAGCTGGACAGGGATATGCAGGGTAGTTCACTGTTGCACACAAAATTTAGGGTCAAGGAGTAGAAGTTGAAATATAACTAATATAAAGAAGGATATAGTTTATAGAATTGAGTACATACCTAAGTAGCATCAAATGACTTAATAGGAGCTAGTTATGAATCGAGAATGTTTTGCTGCAAGTAACCAACCTCTGTTCTGAATTTATCTTGGAACTTGTCATTTTAAATGTTGCGAATGGGACATCAAACTAACCACCTCTCATTAACACTACCAGTGACAACAAGTTCAAAAGGCCAATAATAAATAGAAGATTCATCACCTTAAGAATTGGGCTAATACATGAATGAGCTGAGTTAAAATAGGTGGTGTGTGTCTCAGGATGATTCTAATATCAGCAAGTGTACAATAGGTTTACTGGAAAAGTGAGTGTAATATCAATACATATAATAGCAGAGATTGCGAAACCAAAACATTTGAATGTGACCTGATCCCAAAGCTTCTGGTAAATATTAAACAACTATCTAAAAATCAGGTTCCAAAATGCATCTGATGAACATACTACCAAGTCAATATTCTAGGAAAGCATATTCTATGAGATGTTTTTTTTGGTTACACTATTTTTTATGCAAAGTAGGGAATCGATAGCTGGAGGGAATCTTTGATATTCCTGATAAATCATACGTGCCAAATTCTGGTATCATTTATTAAATAACCAATATCCTTAATTGCAATTACATGTTATTGTCCTTTTTAAAAACAGATTACAAAATTTATTCTAAAAGCAAAAAGGGAAAGAAGCAGAGTAATAAAGTAAAAAGATAACAATCGCCAATAAATAAAACTCTGCTTACAGGTAGCATCTTCAGAAATGGCAAAAAGCTATCAAATAGCGTTGTTAATAACAGCCCATGAACAGTTTTACAAATCAGACAGCAAATGAAATGAAAGTCATTGCTTACATCGTCCCCAATTACACAATTGCTCATTTACGTAGAGTCACAGAGTTGTATAGCATGGAAACAGACCTTTCAGTCCAACCCATCCTTGCCGACCAGATATCCTAAACTGTTCTAGTCCCATTTGGCCCATATCCCTCTAAACCCTTCCTACGGCAGCTCACTTTGTATGCACAACACCCTCTGCGATTAAAAGTGGCCCCTTAGGTCCCCTTTAAATCTTTCTCCTCTCACCTTAAACCTATGCCCTCTAGTTTTGCACTTCCCTATCCTGGGAAAAAGGACATTGCCTATTCACCCTTTCTCTGCCCCTTATGATTTTAAAAACCTCTAAAAGGTCACCCCTCAGCCTCCGACACTCCAGAGAAAAAAGCGCCAGCCTATTCAGCCTCTCTCTCAAACCCTCCAATCCTGGCAACAACTTTGTAAATCTTCTCTGAACCCTTTCACGTTTAACAACAACTTTTCTATAGCAGGGAGACCAGAACTGAACACAGTATTCTAAAATAAGAGATAACAAGGTGCAGAGCTGGATGAACACAGCAGTCCTGCACCTTGTTATCTCAGATTCTCCAGCATCTGCAGTTCCTACTATCTCTGAAACAGTTTTCTAAAAGTGGCCTAACAAGCCTAAAGTGTCCTGTCATGTGGCAACTGTACATTTCAACTCTTATACTTCATACACCGGCCAATGAAGGCAGGCATGCCAAATGCCTTCTTCACCACCCGGTCTACGCAAAACTCCACTTCTAAGGAACTATGCACCCATACCTATGGGGTCTCTGTTTGGCAACACTTCCCAGGGCCCTACCATCAAGTGAAAACTGAAAGAACTGCGGATGCTGTAAATCAGGAACAAACACAGAAGTTGCTGGAAAAGCTCAGCATCTGAAGAAAAGTCAGTTCTGAGGAAGGGTCATTGGATCCAAAACGTTAACTCTGATTTTTCTTCATAGATGCTGCCAGACCTGCTGAGATTTTCCAGCAACGTCTGTATTTGCCTTACCAAAACGCAACACCTCAGAATTATCCAAATTAAACTCCACCTGCCACTCTTCCCCCACTGGCCCATCTAACCTTTGTACTCTGAGATAACCTATTTCACTGTACACTGCACCACGCATTTTAGTGTTATCTGCAAACTTATTAACCATACCTCCTTATTCATAGAAAAATCATTTAATTAAACGACAGAAAGCAGTGGACCTAGCACCAATTCTTGCTGCACACCACTGGTCACAGGCCCCCAGTCTGAAAAACCACTCTCAAACAGTATCCTCTGTCACCTTCAAACCAATTTTGCCATTAGCTTCCATGTGATCTAACCTTGCTAACCAGTCTATCATGCAAAACTTTGCCAAATGCCTTGCTGAAGTCCGTATTGATGTCTACCGCTCTGCCTTTGTCACTTCTTCAAAAAACTCTCAGTCGAGCTAGTGAGACGTGATTTCCCACATACAAAGCCATGTTGAGTATCCCTAATTTGGCTTTCCAAATGCCTGTCCCCGTCAGAATCCCCTCCAACAACCTATCTGCCACTACACGTCCACCTTTATAATTAAAAAATAAACATTAGACTGCCTTACCACGGTCTTCTGTTTCAAATTCACATCAGTTTAGCACCATTTAAGTTTGACTTACCACTTTCAGCAATTGCAAACCTTGGCCAGTTGGTGTCCTTTGTTAATTTTGTCAAAGCTTTACCTGCCAAATCTGTATTGGATGGCCAGTTTTACCAATGAAGAATTTGCAATGCTTAAAGGGACAAAATAGATTGTGAGTTTAATATAAGGAGCGATATCCTTTGGTCAGCTCAGGATGCACTCAACCTCATGTGGTGTATTTTATCTTTATTTATCATGGATAGAAGTTTTCAGAAAATTTAGCAAAGTGAAAAAAAATAGATTTGGTTGACTTCATTAGATATTTAGAAGATCAATATCAAATTCACTGGAATCTGAACTACTAGCCTTGGACTTATAATATCAGAAAAGTTTTTACTTTATTTTGATAGGTGTTCTCAATTCAGCCAGTAATACATTATCTCTTTTGCTCTCCTTTTCATTCCTATTGAAGGTGCTAATTGATATATGGGGGTGCAATTTCAGGGCTCTCATCAACACTTCGGGACTGCTAAAGAGATTGCATCACACCCATAATTTGTTACCCGAACTGTTGCATAAAGTAATTGTTTTATCCTTGGAAACAAAACCAAACCAATTTTATTTATTTTTCTCCTTGCTTCACAACATTATCAATTTTATTTTGAGGTGAACATTCACAATGGAACAAAGTTATGTGGCACAGGATCAAGAATGTGTTGACATTTTGGTTCGTGGCTCTTTGAGAACCACACAATAATGAGCACTAAAACAGGCCACTCACTCCATTAATTTTTTCTCCATAGTAAGGTCAAAACGGGGATGTTCGCTGATGATGATCAGCACCCTTCACAACGACTCTCATACTGAAGTTGTCCAAATGACAAACCATTGTGACAGAATCCAACTATTTCCTTGTGACAAATTTATGAGAATTCTTTGAGGAGATAACATGCATGATGATTAAAAGGGAAACCAGTAGATGTAATGTACTTAGATTGCCAAAAGGCATTCAAATGCTGGCCTTTTTTCTAAGAGAAGAACTCACAATAGTCTCGGGGTTGGTATATTAGCATGGATATAGAATGGGCTAGCTAAAAGAAGAGTTGGGATAAGTGGGGCTACTTTCAGCATGATAATCTCTGACTACTGGAGAGCCTCATGATCACTGCCAGAATGACAATTATTTACAATATGAATTAATGATTCAGACGAGGGAAATGAATGTATTCTTGATAAGTTTGCCACTGACAAATATGTGGGATGGCAAGTGGAATTCTTTAACGTAAGACTCATTTAATCAGTTAGAGAACCAGTGCTCATGGGGAAAAGGCAAGAAAGGAGAGTTGATGATCATCAGATCAGTCATGATCTCAGGTGAATGGCACAGCAGCAGACCTGATGGACCAAATGGCCCACTTCTGCTCCTGTCTTACTGCCTCAACATCTTAATGCCTTGGAATGACCATAGCATACAACCACAATCAATTTTATATAAAATTCAATTCTAGCTGAGAGGCAAATTATTTTTAAGCATCACCCTCTGTGAGATAGGTATCTAATGTAGCTAACAGGTTAAGAATGTTGTTTCTGAAGCCAACCTTTTATGCAAAGTAACCTGCATTCATAATTTTTGCCATCTCTGAAGACACTAATACTGCAAAAAATTAATTTTACTTTATCCAATTACACATGACCCCTTATTAAACCTCTAAATAATTCCACCTAAGAAAGCATTTCCAAGAGTTTGAAAAACAAGTTAGAAAGTGTACAGTTTATTTGCTTTTCAGAAGTCATCAATAACAGCTATGTCTTCCTTCAGTAAGGCAATCGCACAAAATGGGTTCCACTTGACAGAAGAGAAATTGTCACCTTGGCTGTTCTTATACATATACATTAATACATTTTTTTTTAAATTAAGGAATAGATAAACTGTATGCAAGTATCTGGTGAACGTACCTTAATGACTGGGACCCTGGGTTTGAACCTGGAGGACAATTGGTTCAGTACCTCTGCCAGTAATTGCTGATGTTTCAGAACTTTTCTCATCTTCATTATTCGCACAATTGCGGCCTTAGTGATATAATTAATAATCAAAGAATAAGGGATTAAACGACTTGTTCCAAGATTTGGCTGCTGATTAAAATGGTAGAATGATTAAGACACAAAGCTGTGTTTTTTTTTCCAAGCTTAACATAGTTGTACCATGCACTTTCCTGAAAGTCCAACCAACTCTTCCCTTTTGGAAGGCACCAATGATATAGGTAAAAAACAGGATGAGGTCCTACAAGCAGAATTTAGGGAGTTAGGAGCCAAGTTAAAAAGTAGCACCTCAGAGGTAGTAATCTCAGGATTGCTAGAGTGCCACGAGCTAGTCAGAGTAGAAATGAAAGAATAGGCAGGATAAATGAGTGGCTTGGGAGATGGTGCAAGAGGGAGGAGTTCAGATTTTTGGGACATTGGGACCGGTTCTGGGGGAGGTGGGACTATTACAAATCGGACAGTCTACACCTGGGCAGGACTGGAACCAATGTCCTAGGGGCTGCTTTTGCTAACGTTGTTGGGGAGGGTTTAAACTCATGTGGCAGGGGGATGGGAACCAAATGAGGTGGTTAGTGGACAGAAAGGAGGTAGTAACTAAAGCCTGTAAGGAACTAGATAATGAAGTCAGTGTGACTAAGGGGAAGAGTAGGCAGAGAGCAGATGATGAACGCAAAGGGACAGGTGATCTGAGGTGCATTTGTTTTAGTGCAAGAAGTGTAGTAGGTAAGGCAGATGAACTTCAGGCTTGGATTAGTACCTGGGAGTATGATGTTATTGCTATTACTGAGACTTGGTTGAGGGAAGGGCAAGATTGGCAACTAAATATCCCAGGATATAGATGCTTCAGGCGGGATAGAGATGGAGGTAAAAGGGGTGGAGGAGTTGCATTACTGGTCAAAGAGGATATCACAGCTGTGCTGAAGGAGGGCACTATGGAGGACTCGAGCAGTGAGGCAATATGGGCAGAGCTCAGAAATAGGAAGGGTGCAGTAACGATGTTGGGGCTGTACTACAGGCCTCCCAACAGCGAGCGTGAGATAGAGGTACCAATATGTAGACAGATTATGAAAAGATGTAGGAGCAACTGGGTGATGGTGATGGGAGATTTTAATTTTCCCAACGTTGACTGGGATTCACTTAGGGTTAGGGGTTTAGATGGAGCAGAATTTGTAAGGAGCATCCAGGAGGGTTTTCTAGAGCAGTATGTAAATAGTCCAACTCAGGAAGGGGCCATACTGGACCTGGTGTTGGGGAATGAGCCCAGCTAGGTGGTTGAAGTTTCAGTAGGGGATTACTTTGGGAATAGTGATCACAATTCCATAGGTTTTAGAAAACTGATGGACAAAGACGAGAGTGGTCCTAAAGGAAGAGTGCTGAATTGGGGGAAGGCCAACTATAGCAAAATTCGGCAGGAGCTGGGGAATGTGGATTGGGAGCAGCTGTTTGAGGGTAAATCCACATTTGATACGTGCAAGGCTTTTAAAGAGAGCTTGATTAGAATATAGGACAGACATGTCCCTGTGAAAATGAGGGATAGAAAGGGCAAGATTAGAGAACCATGGATGACAGGTGAAATTGTGAGACGAGCAAAGAGGAAAAAGGAAGCATACATAAGGTCTAGGCGACTGAAAACAGGCGAAGCTTTGGAGGAACATCGGGAAAGTAGGACCAATCTGAAACGAGGAATTAAGAGGGCTAAAAGGGGTCATGAAATATCTTTAGCAAACAGGGTTAAGGAAAATCCCAAAGCCTTTTATTCGTACATAAGGAGCAAGAGGGTAATTAGAGAAAGGGTTGGCCCACTCAAGGACAAAGGAGGGAAGTTATGCGAGGAGTCACAGAAAATGAGTGAGATTCTTAATGAGTACTTTGTGTCGGTATTCACTGAGGAGAGGGACATGACAGATGTTGAGGTTAGGGATAGATGTTTGATTACTCTAGGTCAAGGTGGCATAAGGAGTGGGGGGGGAAGTGTTGGGTATTCTAAAGTGTTGGGAAGTGAGAGAGGAAATAGCTGGGGCCTTAACAGATATCTTTGCAGCATCCTTGAGCACGGAGGACTGGAGAATTGCTTATGTTGTCCCCTTGTTTAAGAAGGGTAGCAAGGATAATCCAGGTAATTATAGACCGGTGAGCCTGACGTCAGTGGTGGGGAAGCTGCTGAAGAAGATACTGAGGGATAGGATCTATTTACATTTGGAAGAAAATGGGCTTATTAGTGATAGGCAGCATGGTTTTGTGCAGGGAAGGTCATGTCTTACTAACTTGATAGAATTCTTTGAGGAAGTGACAAAGTTGATAGATGAGGGAAAGGCTGTAGATGTCATATACTTGGACTTCAGTAAGGCGTTTGATAAGGTTCCCCGTGGTAGGCTGATGGAGAAAGTGAAGTTGCATGGGATCCAGGGTGTACTAGCTGGATGGATAGAGAACTGGCTGGGCAACAGGAGACAGACAGTTGTAGTGGAAGGGAGTTTCTCATAATGGAGAACTGTGACCAGTGATGTTCCACAGGGATCCGTGTTGGGACCACTGTTGTTTGTGATATACATAAATGATCTGGTGGAAGGTACAGGTGGTCTGATTAACAAGTTTGCAGATGACACTAAGATTGGTGAAATAGCAGATAGTGAAGGGGACTGTCGGAGATTGCAGCAGAATATAGACAGATTGGAGAGTTGGGTGGAGAAATGGCAGATGGAGTTCAATCCAGGCAAATGCAAGGTGATACATTTTGGAAGATCCAATACAAGAGCAAACTATACGGTAAATGGAAAAGCCCTGGGGAAAACTGACGCACAGAGAGATCTGGGTGTTCAGGTCCACTGCACCCTGAAGGCGGCAACGCAGGTCGATAGAGTGGTCAAGAAGGCATACGGCATGCTTTCATTCATCGGATGGGGTATTGAGTACAAGAGTTGGCAAGTCATGTTACAGTTGTATAGGACTTTGGTTTGATCACATTTGGAATACTGTGTATAGTTCTGGTTGCCACATTACCAAAAGGATGTGGATGCTTTGGAGAGGGTGGAAAGGAGGTTCATCAGGATGTTGCCTGGTATGGAGGGCACTAGCTATGAAGAGAAGTTGAGTAGATTAGGATTATTTACATTAGAAAGACAGAGGTTGAGGGGGGACCTGATTGAGGTCTACAAAATCATGAGAGGTGTAGACAGGGTGGATAGCAAGAAGCTTTTTCCCCCCCACAGAGTGGGGGACTCAATTACTAGGGGTCATGATTTCAAGGTGAGATGGGAAAAGTTTAAGGGAGATATGTGTGGAAAGTTCTTTACGCAGAGGGTGGTGGGTGCCTGGAACGCGTTGCCAGCGGAGGTGGTAGAGGCGGGCACGATAGCGTCATTTAAGATTTATCTAGACAGATACATGAATGGGCAGGGAGCAGAGGGATACAGATCCTTGGAGGGCCGAAGGGCCTGTTCCTGTGCTGTAATTTTCTTTGTTCTTTGGTTTTTTTAGCCAATTACTGTCCTTACAAATGTGCTTTAATTTTGCTTGGCAGATGAAAGTTTTGAAGGGGTCTGAGAAAAGGAATTAATTTCAAATTTTGTGGACAAAACTGGAGCAGTTCTTTAAAAGGGGTTATTGAAAGTTCACCATGGACATTGGATTATCTTGTTTTAAAAGGTGTCTGAAAAATAACATGGTGATAACTGCCTTCTTTGCTGTAGACACCACTGGGGCTGGTTTGGAGAATTGCTTGTTTTGTCTGGATAGATTGGTGGGAAGCCTGCTAAAAACAAGCCAAGCAGAAGGAAAGCTTGCTATGAGCTGGCCAGCTGATCTCTGCCATTTCTCAAAAAAAAAACCCTCCACATAAATTCAGGGTGAAACCCTTTTTTTGTTCTTTTGAAAGAACAATTGAAAAAACAAACATTGTCTTTCCTGAGCAAGCTGTTACTTCAAAACTTTAGAGGGCACTACGCTTGATCAGAGACTTCACTACACAAGTCAGAACATCAGAGCCACAGACTTTGGCATAGTCTATGCTTCATTCTTTTGACTTCAAGAATAATCCATTAGCTAGAATTCTGACAGATCTCTTTTCCTGAAGGTGATAGGTATAGGAATAGGAATAAGCATTTATACTTATATGTTACTGAGTGCGTATGTTAACTAATTAACGCATCTTTATTGATGAAGTTGTTTTGATAACACCATAGTTTCTTTTATCGAAAAACCTGTTTGATAGATCATCTTGTTTAAAACCTGGTATAAATAAAGTATTTACTTGGTTACCTTGATAACTAGATATGGTATTTTTATCTGATGTTGCAACCCATGGGGTAATGGAACTAGAAAGATGGTGCACTTTCCCGGTCTCTGTGATTTCTGTTCCCACTTCTCATCCATTTATTTATTCTATCCAAAGTTTTTCCTCATTTTAGAAAAGAAACAGGAGCAGCAGTAGGCATGTTCCCTCCTTCTATGTGGCATAGGGATGGGCAATTTCAGGTTGCTTGACAGAGGAACTTTCTCAATAGACTATCTGCCTCGATGTGACCATCAGTCAATACCATCATGGCTAATCTTCTGACATCGACAATCTTCCTTTCCTGCCCTATACCCATTTCCAAAAGAGACTGTCCTAAACTACCTTAAATATATATTTGTATCAGAGACAGTAGGAACTGCAGATGCTGGAGAATCTGAGATAACACGGTGTAGAGCTGGATGAACACAGCAGGCCAAGCAGCATCATAGGAGCAGGAAGGTTGACGTTTCCGGCCTATTTCTGAAGAAGGGTCTAGGCCCGAAACGTCACCCTTCCTGCTCCTATAATGCTGCTTGGCCTGTTGTGTTCATCCAGCTCTACACCGTGTTATCTTAAATATATTTGTGTTCAGCAACCGCATCCTTGGGTGAAAAACGTTCTTGTCTAAATAGCTGACCCTAACACTATGACCCTTGGGTTCTAAACTTTTCAGCCTGAGAAAACAAAGTCTCAACGTCTATCCTGTCAAACCCACTAGAAATTTTATACAATTGAACAAGATCACCTTTCATTCTTC